TTTGAACGTATATGGACACCATTTATGACCTTTTTCAAACATGTGGACTTTGTTGAGGATGCTGATAATGGAAGATGAGAATAATGCAGTTCATAACATAAATGTAACACGAAGACCCGCCTAAAAGAAAGACACTATTTGCCTGGGAAAGAAAAGTTATATTACCGTAATATTACTACTGTTGACTTGATGTCAGTAATGCTGATTTAAATCTTGTATTTTTTGTCATTTGGTTTGACTATTAATGGTTTGTAAAAGTATGAAAACAATAAAAAAAATATTGTTATAAAAAAGTGCAGCAATTGCTTAAAGAATTTTGTAGAATTAGCTACGGCGACTTAGTATTAGTGTATGATCACAAAGGTATATTAGGACTGAGTGGTGATAAAACTTCTGAATTCTTCGCTCAGTGCTTCAGTAACACTGTAAGCTATATATGGCAGCCAGTATAATGTTAAATTAATAATGTAAACAACGGTTAATAGATGAAGTTTGCTACACTTGACACTAAACAGGTATTGTTTGATTCCATAGGATGTTTTTTTTTTTTTCATTATATTCTTGTCTGTCGCACTTTCTTACCAGTGATACAATTAAGTACTAATACTTGCTGAGATTGTTATACAGAGGCAACAGTTAATGTCTCTGCAAGGAATGGAGGGCCAAAGCATGTTTGTGAAACAGACTCAACAGTGTTCATGGCTGGCCAAAGTGGGAAATTACAGAGACAAACCAACTTTTGCATGTAGTGAGATATTAAGGCCTCAGGCAGTTTGCTTAGTCCAAATCCCTTATTTACTGGAAGCATAATTAAGGCTGTTGCCATGCAGCCATGTAGTAAGTCTGAGGGGGAGCAAATGGGGCCAGTTACTCCACTAAAGCTGTTTTGCTAGTTTTTAAGCAAGCAAATTGAAATAATTAAAACAAAACAACCCTTCCAGAACTTTGATGTCGCTTAGGAATATTATTTCAGTGCTATTTATATGTGTGTGAGAAAGTGATAGTAGAGTATATTTGATAAGGTCTTTGATTGCTAAATCCAACTGTAGTGGGGAATTCAGCAAGGAGTGCATCATGGTTGCCTAGTAACTGCAGCAGCTGAAGCCTGTGGGCAAATCACATCAGTAACGGAAAGCCAGAAGACACTGAGAGTCTGGAGCACAACTAAATTACAACGCACACGCACACATTAGGCTTGCCGATAATTATTGGCTTCTTCATGCCACCCCTTAATAAAAAGATACATTTCTCAGCTTAATCTCAGAAGAACAAAAAATAAAATATTTTGCGGTATTGCAACCCACAGTGAATTGTATGACAATGTTGAATGCTTGGCTGATGGAAAAAAAAATTAAAGAAAGTCATTTCATTTTCATCTGATTTCCACACTGAAGTTGAAAAGGTTTCCATTTCAAAAGCAGAAGAATTAGATTAATTCAGAAAATCTTTAAAATTATACAATCCAATGTGTACAAATACTGGGAGCACCCTCTAGTGTTTATCTAGAGAATTCATCAAATTATAATACTTAAATTTTTATGGTTTAAAACAGTATATCACTGGTTTCCGTAATTCTTTTAGTATTTTTGGTAAAATATTGCCACACTTCATATTCTGTAGAATTATACAATTGCATATTCAGTTTTCAGAAATGTTCTCAAATTGGCATACTTTACATTGCTTAAGGTGATCTGTCCTAAAATGTGCATGAGCCCCTCAATAATCCAGAAAGTAAAATTTTTTGTTCTAAAAATGAATTTCATATCTGTTTGCCTGAAATGTTGTTCCTTTCTTAGTGGTTTACATGAATAATTCATTATAGCTTTGGTTGGAGGCATCTCTTGATGGGGGAGCAGTGATTGATGAAATTCATTTCTAATCAACAACACAGTGAAAGACCCTGTAAACAGCGAAAATCTGTCATCGTATTCAAGCTTATTGAAAAGCTTTGGGAATATAGCAATAGGGGTTCATTTTCCATAGTAATGCATTTTAGAGCATTTTAAACAGGTCTAAAGGTCTGAGGATGATTATGTATCAGTTGCAGCCATGTTTCCCACAGTATTGCAGGATGAAGCATGTCAGGGCAGACAGTCGTGCAGGGGTTCGGAGCAAGCGGACAGCCAAGAACACGACGGATTCCTGCTGACCTCGCTCACCCTCAGATGGCCTCTCTGTGGGAACTGCTGTGTAAGTGAAAAACAGCCAGTTTAAAGGTCCCACAGCAGGCCCCAAAGCAGACAGGGTGGGGCGGCCCTAACCGCCATCTGGCCTCAGGATCTGTTATATGCACGTTGACGTGTGTATGAATTGCCCTTAATTCTCCACTTCACATTGCTACTATACCCAATATATACTGTACCAAGGGCTTTAGACGCACTCGTGTCATCAATTTTATTATGGCAAGATGAACAAAACATGTCAGAAAGATAGCATTAAACAAAAGGGTCTATAACGCATTTGGTTGTACACATAAATGAAGGGTAGCAGGTCATATCAATGGTTCCCATGCAAAAATGCTGGGAGACATCATCTTCCGGATCTATGTAAGGTCAGAGGAACGACTTAGTACTTTCCATTTTTTTATGTATCTGAAAAAGAAAAACCTTAATCTGGAAACTGGGGGTAGACTTTTTACAATTTTAATATTATTTTGTGACTCTACCTCTGCTTGTCCACTTTGGCTTACATGTTTAAACCCATTATCGAGGAGTATTTTTAATGGAGCAGTTCAGGCTCTTTACTCCTGAATATAACAACATGTCGCTCCACCCCCAGGACATGAAATGTCAAGTTTCAGGTTACCTGTCCTAACATACCATGCACTTAAATGCTCAGCCTTCACTTTTATCATAATCTGCTGTTTTGCAGAGGGTAAGTTCGGAATTCATCACTGCTGTCAACAAGCAGAAGCCATTTTGTCTTATTTGCAACCAAGAAGAAAATATGTTTATGAAATGTTTTGAACATAGTGCTAGAATTCCATGTTCTTATTTAGAGAAAGCAGGATATTATGTAATGGCATGAGTTACTTAGCCTTATATTATATTATTTCCACTTGCCAGTTCAAATCCTGTGGCTGGCAGAGTACCGGCGAAATCTGCTCCAGGGGTACTGGGAATATGGCTAACTCTGTGCCCTGCCCTCACGCTTCACTCTCACCAGTGCAATAAATGCAAGTTAGGATACGTAAAAACAAAAGCATTCCTATGTGCTTGTACGAATGGCAAACATAGTATTATTTTAAAAACTATGTGACCCCCTAATATTAAGTAATTAGTGGAATTTTCTTTATTGGCAATAGAATCAATCAAACTGGTCCTGGAGATGCTACACAACGGTTTTGAGGTATTTTGGCCCATATCGCTCTACAAAAATTGATTCTTATATGTCTTTGGTATTTTCTACCTAGAAAGGCATTTTTCATGTCAAACCTTAGGATATTAAAAGAAGGACTGGATGTTACAACCGATTGTTTCTGCACCAGGAGGTCAGGCCTTCACCCCATGGGCGTCGCCGCCATTAAATCTGAGGGGGACGTAACCCCCCCCACATTTCACATAACATATTAGTTTTATGCCAGTGTGTCCCCCCCACATTCAAAATGCTTCTGACGCCCCTGTTTCACCTGAATATTCACAAATACATTTCTTTTGTTGCTGATTTACTCTTGTGTTATGAATCATTTTCATGTCACATGACCCAGCCTACTTTGAGCTTTAATTCATAGACAGATGACTGAGATTATACTGTAGAATTTCTTGACGTAACTTGTGACTTGGCCCTGAGAATGTTCTGGGCTCACGGCAGGAAAGCAGCCCTACACCATTATACTCCTCCCGTGAAGCTTCTCACTCAGAATGAGGTGATGAGGTTTTTTTATTGGTGTCATTTACTCCTAAACTGTGCACATTGAAAAAAATGTCACAACTGTACATGAAACATGACCCAGTGCTGCTGTGGGACAACCAGGTCTTGAGGGGGGCAGTTTTTTTTTTTGCAAAGTAGTAGTTTCCTCCGTGGTAACCATCCGTGGTAACCATTTGTGGTTCCTATGAACAGCATTCTTAGTGTTTTGCGAGAGATGCTTGTAGATCCCTAGCTATCATCCAAGGCTTCCTTTTTACTAGTTTGGGGTTTCGACTGCATGCCCTTACACTGATCTTTGTAAGACACCTACTCTTAGCCTACTCTTAGCCTACTCTTAGTAGGAGCAGCAATTGTGTTGAATTTATTGTATTTGTAAACTATCTGCCTGATGGTTGACTGATGGAGGCTTAAGCCCTTAGAAATTCTTATATTTCCAAAGTTTGGCAACTTCACCAACTGTTTTTCTGACATACTTTGAAATCTCAGATAAGGTCTTATTGCACTTCAACAGAATTCTGTTGTGAGAAGCAGATAACCAAAAATGTTATACACACACACACTCAGGAGAGCTGAAACCAAATGCACTACTGATTGAACACCTGAACTTGAATTTGATTAAACTAACAGAAAACATCTGTATTTATAAAGATCAGAATACATATTAGGAGCTTTTTATAAGGAAATCCTGATAATCCCAAATGGTTTACAAACCTTTTATCTCAAATTGTATGTATTTGATAAAAAATAGGGTTCTGTATACAGTGGAATGTATGCCTCATCTTTTAATTTAGGTGATGTCACCTAGATTTTTTTGTATTACAGAAGAATGTAAAGTCAATTCTATTGATGTGGTCAGATGTAGACTGAAAGATACTGCCAGTGAAGTACAATGCCAAGCGTCGCGGTCTTGGCAGTTCCAATTTGGCTATGAAACAACTATCCACGTGTCTCCATCATGGCCTCTCTAATGGTTTCATCAATTTAAACTACAATTCCCGGTAGTTTTCTTCAATGGGGGAATTGTTTTTACGTCCCTCGGAAGCGTCCAATTTCGAGGACATATGGGAAATATAGTTCACCTATAAGAGACAAATACTTAAAGTAGAAATATTAGAACTACAATTCCCATATATCGAGTGGCCGTCGCATAGGCCTATCGTGGATTGTAAATGTCCGTGTGTAGGCGAGTCACGTGTGGTCCGTTGATTTCGTTTCGTCCGTACACCAAGAGATTCGCTTATTTGTTCAGTTTCTTTTTAGCCTTCCTTTAAATAAGGCATTTTACCGAAGAATGAGTGACAACGATGATATCGAAGTTGATAGCGACGTAAGTATACGTTTTCTGTTTCGGACTTGCTACACACTGCTAGCGTACACTAGCCTGCTAGCAACCAAAATTAAACACAAATGCCTTGTGTATTCAGTATTTTGAGCCTTTGCTACTGGGTGGTTGCCTGTTTTCCTGCTAGCTGGCTAACTAGCGGGTGATTAGTTGAGTGATCGGCGAAATAAGGTGAAATTAACTGTTGATGATTAATTAGATACCTTCTTTAGATTTAGTCAGATTAATATAGCAGTATATAATCATTTAAAAATGATTAAGGAGTCTTTAGTTTAGCTACACACAATTATACAATTGCACTTTTCTGTTCTGTTTTTTTTCCAGGAAGAATCATCGAGGTTTCACTCAGTGGTGCGTAATTTGCTGAGCGTTTTGTCCCGTTTAGAAATAATAATGAAACTTGCCAGTGCTTGGAAATTATTTCCGGGTGGGTAACAGGATATAAGTTGTCAAACGAGGAAAGGATGCTGTACTTGCAAAGCAAGAGGGCCGGAACCGAAGATCAGCCTGGGCTGGATCCATTCTTGTCGTTGCACGACTCAGGTTTTCCTTTCGGCTAGCTAGGCCACTGCGGAGGTGTATGTGACTGTGGGAAACAACCACGCATGAAAAAGAGAGAAGTTTTAATCATAGCGGTGCAGTCGGATGTGTCACCATTTTTACGTGAGCATATCCTGCAGTGTTTTCCCAAATCCACGGATGTTTTATTGTTACAAATGCATTCATATGCATGAAGGGGTAATCCCATCCCAGAAGTCACAGCGCGTTCTATATTTAGACGAAATTAGCTACCAGATTTTTACACTGTTAATATACGCGGCGGCTCTGGTCACGGATCGGCACACATGTTTAATCGCCCCCCCCCTTTTTATGCTTGAGAGAGAGAGACGCGATTTCAAAAAAGCGCATGTGTTCAGGATGTGAGGACGGGCAGCTTGCAGAGAGCAGTGACGTAACTGGCTTTGCTGGAGAAATGCAACCCCCCCCCTCCCCTCCGATTAAACTGCAACTTCATATCCCAGTTCCCCTTCTGCAGGTCCTCCATCTGGCATGTCAAAATATCGCACGTTGAATAAGGTGCGGGGGCAGTGTACCGAGAAATATGTGTTTCTATTCTGAGATTTATAAAAATTTATAATTTTGTGGGATTCCATTTATTTTGGGCGAGCAATTTAATTGATCAAATCAGACCTTTCTCTCCTTGTGTAAAGCACGGTTGTTTTGTTTTTTTTTTGTTTTTTTTGCATGTATGCAGGATGCAGACCTGCAGTAAACAGCCGTTCCACCCGCTTCCATGTCCTCGCGTGAGAGTCCAGATAGTGCTTGTTTACGTTATGCATGGCTAACATGGCCTGGTTAAATCCATCAATGTCCTTCTCCATTCGCACAAAGCTTGCTCCTCTCTCCGTGACCTTTGCCGTCTTTATACCCCAGCGAGGTTCCTGCGCTGGCTGACCATTTGAAATGTTAAGGGTGTGTTGGTGCCCGGCGTCAGTCCTTGCGTTTTACCATGTAGAAGGCGATTCTGAGAGGTTTGCCTGGCAGGCTGGATGCCCGCGGGGCGGTGTCCGAGCTGTGTGACGTTGGGGTGCCTTCCACGGGAGGGGGATAAAAATGGCCTTACCGTAGTGAGCGTTTTGGGGAAATTTTTGGAAGTATGTGGCTGTTCTGGTGTTTCATTCACCCTTTTCCGATTATTAGCCCACTAATGCAGATGCTGAGGGTGTTGATGTTTTGCCCCCCTGTCCTTGGATACACCCCCCCCCCACATATTGGGTTTTACCTCAACAGGCTCTTAAGGGTCATAGTTAAGATCGGTTTTGGCCAATGGATGCCAGCAGCAGGACTAAACCATATTGGCATCCGCCACACAATTACACACGTGCTGCTGACGTGTTTGGCTGCATTCCAGGCGGCGCAGAATTGCTGCTCGTTTGCTTGTCCCTGGGCCTGGCTGCCGTGTTGTGTAATCTTCACATCTTGTTTTGTACGGAGGAGGGCAGGTCCTGGATGTGCAGTGACACGCGACTTATCTCTCTGGCATCGCCCAGCTACAAGGGATAATAAAGGAGACACTTTGTGTTTGTGTTTGTTTTGGTTTTGTTCTAAGCTTGAATACAGTTCATGCCTGTTGCCGTAGCTGTATGATTGGTGTGAATCAGTTATCGGTGGACGAAAACTCTTGGAACAAGGCAGTTACTGCTGCCAGCTGAAGAGATGTGTCTGAAAAGCCACCTCCCCACCCCCCAAACTTCTTGATACAGATACCTGGAGTTGTACTTAAACCCAAAATCTTTCGCTCCCCCTCCTGTACGATAACCAAGCTGGCATATGGACGGCCAGCCGTTGTTTTTGGGTAGAGGCCCTTCCTGTTGTGCTTCCCTCTCTTTGCTGTTGTTGATGGCCACTGCCTCAGGGTGTAGCTGACCTCAGGTAGTGTCTCTGCTCTACGTCACGTTGACTCAGTCTTGTTATTATAGTTACGTGCTTTAAGGTATGAAGATGTCATAGCCCCAGTCACGCTCTTTTATCTGAATTTCTGAGCAGTGACTAGATTAGTGCTGTTGACGGAAAGCTTTATATGCGGTTTCATTTTGAATCAAATATGCACGACTTTATTGCAACCCCCCCCCCAGAAGCCTCTGTCGTGTGACCACTGCGGGTATAAAAAACCGCTGGTTACCCGTTCAAATGATCACGCCGGTCGGGCCTGCAGCCAGCTTTGCCAGTACAGCCTTTGTGCTCGTCTGCAGGTCGTGATGATTGACCCAGAGCTCTGCTGGTAACCACAGCTGGACCGAAAGATGAAAATGGGTTTTTGCATGGATCATGATACGCTCTAATAATCATGTGGAAGGGTGGCAAAAACTGGGATTAAGAATATTTCGATCTTTAAAGTAAAGGTGCCAAATGAACACACTTCCTCCCCCGTCGGATAGAAAAAAAAAAAAAGAAGAGAATTCTGTACTTGATAAGCATGAATGCTTCTTAAAGTGAAACTGGTGAAATTGCTGTTCTGGGAACAGAATCATGTGTCAATAGTAAGTTGAATCATTGGAATGGCAGGTGAGGAACGTGACTCACAGCAGTGAGGCTGAAGTCTGGTCTGATAAAATTCCAGGGCTGACTGTATAGAGAAATGACTGGATGACGTGAGGGTGTTTCATTACAGCTGTGGTTCTGGTCTTCGGTCACTAGATGACCGGGGTGCATTTCTTGTAAGTGTCGCGGTGCCGTGACGGTCGTGATCTCGCCGAGGCTCACGACCGTCGCAGCAACTGCGAGGCTTTTGGGGAAAATGGGTCCTGAAACGCCGACCTGCTTTGGTTTCATCCCAGCTCGTCTCGTCTGGGATGCAAACGGCCCTCTGATTGGGGTTGGGGTTCGCACACGGGGGACCAGTCCTCCTCTGACCTGGCTGTGGTGCTCTCGTTGCAGGCGGACAAACGGGCGCACCACAACGCCCTGGAGAGAAAGCGCAGGGACCACATCAAAGACAGCTTCCACAGCCTGCGGGACTCAGTACCGGCCCTGCAGGGCGAGAAGGTTGGTGGGGGGGAGTAGCCATGCCTCTCTGTCTCCGCCTGCCTCTCTGTCTGTCTGCCTGCCTGTAGGGAAGACAATTGTAATTCTAATTATTCTAATTCTACTTGAAATGCTTTTCATTCTTTTCATTCTGTTTCAGTCTTTTGTTATTAAATGTGATTTTTAAATGTCTATATTTTGGTGTCTACATTTAATGACAGTCAGAGTACTAAAAGATCCTGCATATCAGAATTTACTCCTTGTTTTGATCTAGCCCCAGTGCAGCTTTAGCGCTAGCATTATGTTGCAGGTTCTTGCATCTTTTTTTTTTTTTTGGCAGAGGAGTGAGTGTGCAGATGTAAGCTTGGTGCAGTTAGCTCCCTCCCACCTTCCTGCTGCGTGCGTATCCCAGCATGCCTCGCTGCACACTCGGTTCAGGCTTCCCTGAGAACGGCGTGGGCACACAGTCAACAGGAGCCTCGCTGTGACATCCCCCCCCCCCCCACCCCTGCCCTTATAAAATCCTCTGTGGGGGTTTTTCCCCTGTTCCCCCCTCCACTGACTTTGTGTTTTCTCGCATTTTAACATGCGGTTGCCCACATACAGCAAGCTTTCATTTTCCCCAAAGCCTGCCGTCAGCGGCAGCATGCTGTCGCCCAAACCTCGGACTGGGGGGGGGCACCATCTGGACGCAGCGGCCGGAGCCAGCGAACGGTGGGGAAGAGCAGGGTGGGAGGGGGAAAATGGTGGTGTCATGGATCCCAGAATGAGGCGGAGGGGGGGGGAGGCTGTCCACACTCGGTATCCTCAGACCTAGTTGACCCAGGGTCTTTCATCACCCATATTTACAGACGGGCACTGCTCCTGCTCCTACCCCCCCCCCCCCCACATACTTCTCAAGTTAGAGAGAGTCGCAGGGCATTCAGGTTCGTTCAGCGGTGTGACTTCCTGTCCGCTGTCCTGGAAACTTGTCACAGCTTGTCGCTATTTTGACCAAACCCCTAACTTCCTGTTTGCAGGGTACGTTCTTAGGAATGCAGCATTAGAGGTTCAGATCCAGAGGGAGTTGAGCCCCTAGCTTAGGGATCTGGGCCAGACTGGGTCTAGCTGGCATTTTTCTGTCCTTGGACAAAAGAGCAATGACATAAGGACCAGTATTACGGGGAATCAGCCAAGGGGTTTGTGTGTCTTCTGAAGTGGCCAGATCACGTTACAACCTTTCACTCTTTGAACAGTCAGTGACTCTTATCTCAATCCAGGCATGTGAGTCTTAGGCATGTGAGTCTTAGGCAGTGCGGCACTGAGTCTCGTTTCACTCGATGCCTTGTTGCTGACAGGCATCCCGAGCTCAGATCCTAGACAAAGCCACAGAGTACATCCAGTACATGAGACGAAAAAACCACACACACCAGCAGGACATCGACGACCTGAAGCGGCAGAACGCCCTCCTCGAGCAGCAGGGTGAGTGCGGGGTAGGGGGGTCAGTGACCGTGTGTCCTGTGTGGGGAGTCCCAGCTGACAGATGTGAGGGTTTTCCTCTGGAATCCTCCACTAATGACCAAAACAGGGGTGTTTCTCGATATGTGTACTTGATCGTACTTGTGTTTTTGTGTACCCGTTTTGTCATGTTCTATTGCCAAAGACCAGTTCTAGTTCTCAAGAACAGAACTACAGAGAATGGTAAAAATCCCTGAATGTCATCCTTGCCCTGCCCCAAAAGTCAAGGATACATCAGTTGCATCCTGGCCGAACGAGACCAGTCCCATGATTCATTGCGCCCCAAGTTTGTTCTTGGAAGTTAGCAAGACCGGTCTTGCCAAGACCACAAGTACGATCTTTGCATTCTTGGTATTGAGAAACATCCCCGGACTTTGAGATGGAAAAATGAGGCTTTGAACCCTGCAGTGTAGTGGGGAATCAGTGGGTTTAGCCTGATACCCAGTGGCGTACAGCAGTAATAAACCCTCATACAGTGGGTCCAGTTTGTCGCCAGTTATCCATACAGTTAGAGCTGTACCTGATGGATGTGGGGAGGTGTTGTGTTCGTGTGCCGTGGAGGTGTGGGTGTCTAACCAGCGGCTGGGTGTCTAACCAGCGGCTGGGTGTCTGTCTGTCTGTCTGCCTCGATGGGCGCCGCCAGTCCGGGCCCTGGAGAAAGCCAAGGGCACCACACAGCTTCAGGGCAGCTACCCCTCCAACGACAGCTCCTTGTACACCAACCCAAAGGGCAGCACCGTGTCAGCCTTCGACGGCGGCTCTGACTCCAGCTCCGAGTCTGAGCCTGAGGAGCTGTCTCCCAGGAAGAAGCAACGAGTGGAGTCCAGCTAGTGTGCCCTCCCCCCCCACCCCTCTACCCCCCCTTTTCCATCCCTCTCCAGTACCCATCCTCTCTCTCTCCTCCCCACCCCTTGCTTGAACCCCCCCCCAGCCCTGGAGTGGGAGGGACACCCATGAG